CCTGGATGGTAATGTAATTCAAAATCATAATCTTTCAAAAATTCCATCCACCTTCTTTGTCTCATATTCAATTCTTTTTGATCAAACAAATATTTTAAACTCTTATGATCACTAAAAACATCAAACTTACCACCATATACATAATGTCTCCATATCTTGAGTGCAAAAACAATGGCAGCTAATTCTAGATCATGGGTTGGGTAATTCCTTTCATGAGCTCTTAGTTGTCTAGAAGCATATGCTACTACCCTTCTATCCTGCATAAGAACACACCCTAATCCCATTTTTGAGGCATCACAAAATATGACAAATTGTCCATTAGGATTGGGTAAGGTTAAGACTGGTGCAGTGGTTTATCTTTTCTTAAGCTCTTGAAAACTATTCTCACATTTTTCTGTCCACTCAAAGGGTTGTCCTTTCTTACTGAGTTGAGTTAAAGGCATGGCTATTTTAGAAAATCCTTCCATGAATCTCCTATAATATCCTGCTAAACCCAAAAAACTACAGATTTCTGTCACTGTCTTTGGAGGTTCTCATAACAGAACTGCTTCTACTTTAGACGGATCCACAGACACTCCGTCTTTGGAGATCACATGTCCTAAAAATTTAACCTCCTCTAACCAAAATTCACACTTAGAAAGTTTGGCATATAATTGTTTATCTTTCAGGATTTGGAGAACAGTTTGAAGGTGTTCTTCATGCTAGGAAAAAACCCTAGTCCACCCTTTGGCCGGAACAATATTGAATATTGATCGACATGTAATCCAAAATTATTGTTTGTATAAAAAAAATATTTTAAAGTTATGTTTAGAATAATATTTAATTGTTTAATAGCGTATAGTTATACTAGTATAGTAAAATTAAACTTATTTAAAGTAAAAGGAAAACTGGAGAACTTAGTTATTAGTTACTATCAAAGGAAAAACTCTATCTTTGAGATGTTGCCGTTAGGAGGCTTTTTTATTTTTATTTTTATTTATGGAAATTTGTAATTCTTTTACAAAATTCTTGAAAAGCTAAGTTTTCAAAATTTTTAAGGAAAAAGGTAAGTCGTATTTTAGAAAAATGACATGTAGAAGGCAAATTCTAATTTTAAGCACGACCTATGAATTTATATTTAGTTAAATTCAAATATTAAAAGTCAAACACAATTTTTAGAGTTTCACTTAAAATAAAATAAAATAAAGCCGTATTTTGATTCATGGCATTTAATTTATTGTTTTCAAAAAATTATAAGTCATGGATTCAAACACGAACATTAATATTTTTATAAAAAATAAAAAGTCATATATAGTATCATGACATTAATATGTTTTTAAAAAAGAATACGAAAATTGTGTATATAAACACAACTTTTAATAGGCGCAATTAAATTCAAAGGGCCCATGGTGTATCATCTGTAAATTAAAAATTATAAACCGTTATAAATTTTTGCTTGGGCTTGTATTATTATTTTATTTAACAATAAAATTATCTTGGTGTAAAAAAAAAATATTAAAGTCAAGATTTAATTCACAACTTGTAATTTTTGAAAGAAAAAAAATGTAATGAATCAAAACACAATTTTAAATTTATTTTATTTAAAAATAAAATATTCTAAAACTCATGTTTATTAATCACGAATTCTAATATTTGAACTAAAAATATTTATAAACTCACAAGTCGTATTTTTTTTAAACACCATTTTCTTTTACTTGTAGAATTACTGAAACACGATTTATCCCTTTTATGGAAAATTTTGAAAACTTATTTCAAAATATTTTGTAAAGAATTGCACCATTTGTGTAAAAAATCCCCAATAGGGTGTTTAAGATTTTCCTGTCATATCAAGTGGCATGTAACTTTTTTTTCTATTGGTGTTGAAGATATCTTTCGTTTATTTATTTATTTTAAAAATTTGCCTTTTCTAATAAACTATTCTTTCTGACTAAAGAATTCAACCTCAAGAAATCCAAGTATCTATCATTGGATTTTCACGGATGTGGATTTTAAAAATAAGACTTTTCAATACTAATAATGATTTTATATCTATACTAATAATAAATAGGATATCTCTTTTTTGATTTACATAAATTTGAACAATTTTTATCTTAATAAATTT